TAGTCCTACTCCTCTTTTTCTTTTTCCAACTTTTAGCACATTCTCATCTGAGTTTTCAAGAAAAAATACAATGTTCCTGCCATCCTGCTAATCTCAATCGGCCGATGGCCAAGCTTACCACTACCCACCACTACTAATTGCATCTGCTATATCGCTGTTATGTAAATATTCACGAATTCTTGTCATGAGCCATGTTCTCTGGACGATTATCTTTTTCGCCTAACCACCATTCGTAATGTCCTTAAATAATCTTTTTTCATTCCAAAAGTGCCTCTTGAATTTAATAATTTCCCATAGGAACCCCTCGATTTTCATCTATTTCCATAAGCGCCCCCTCAATTTCCACTCTGTTTTCGTAAGCGCCCCGTTTAAATAAACGCCCCGTTTGAATAAGCGCCCCCCAGAAAGCGCAAAAAATATTTTAGGCGCCCGGGCGCTTATTCGCGCGAGTACGGAACCCTACAACACTTCAATTTGCTACTGTGACAACCGTGTGGTGGGGTAGTTGCTAAATACAACGGGTTCAGTCGCCGAGGGGGCGTGGCTTGTATTTGGTGACGTCAGGTATGATTATGCAGTCTACCTAAAAACGTAACTGTGTAACCAATGTGAATTTAGCAAGGCGAGCAGGCTGAGGCTTAAGCTTAGTTTTCTCTTGTGCTGCTGCTACGGGCTGGGTGAGGGATGATCGAGTCCATTTTCAAACGATTGGCCTAAGTTATGGACGTTCGTAGGTCTAGGTTTCCTCTAACAAAGCTTGGGCTAGGTCGGACCAGGAGGTCTTTTCAGGTCTGGGGCCTAGTTCTATAATTGTGCGTCCAGCAACCCGCAGCAGTCTGTCTGGGCCTATATGCCTCATTTACGTGAAGTTAGGCCTATGCAGAATCTGTTGTTAGACTCTCGCCTAGGATACTGAAGAATCTGCACTGAATAGGTGCATTTAATTCAATTCAATTTATTCACTAAAGAAATGTTAAAATAGCAATTAATTACATAATATAATAAAAAGATGAAATGGACAACCAGCATAAAAAGCTCAAAGAGCTTGTACAAACGCGGTGTCCAATACTATTAAAGTAATTAAGTTAAGTAAAATATGTTTAAAATTAAAAAGCATTCAATAAAATAATTAAAATATTTCAGGTTAGGATAAAATCTGTCTCTTATACACATCTAGATGTGTATAAGAGACAGCCCATTGATGGGTGGACTGAAACAATGTATGAAGTGCCTTGCCCAAGGACACAAGCGAATCTGCACGGCGGAGACTCCAAAATCCCGACCTTACGATTGGAAGTCCGAACCTCAACCGCTGCGCCAAACTGCCGCTACCGCAACACCGAACAACAACATACACAGAGAAAAACAAGCAAAATATTATAGATACTGTAGGCCTAGGTCTAAAAATATTAAATGATAGGTATGCTGTGCATACCCTGGCTAAAACAAATAAGAAAATATAGTAGTACAGTTTCTGCGTTTGATTTAGCATTTCTTAGCCACAATCTTCTATATAAACCTTAATTTTTTGAATGGATTGCTGTAGTTTATTGGAAAAGCAAAGTTTTTCAATGTTTGGCCTACTTTGGTATAGGATAAGTCACATTCGGGCCTATCGTATCCTACTCTCAGCTGCTTAGAATTTCCGCATAGATGGTTTGAATATCAACCAATCACGTATTCAGTGAGTCAATGGAAGTCAGAGCATACCGTACTCGCGCGAATAAGCGCCCCGTTTGAATAAGCGCCCTTCTCGAATAACCGCCACTCCTAACGCGAACATTTCTTTAAGCGCCCCGTTTTAATAAGCGCCCCTTCTAATCTAATGATAAATAATATCATAAGATTTTATTTTTAGCAAGTCAATAATCCAATCAATCCTGGGACTGTAATTGTTGGCATGATTTGAGCTGCAGAGTAGAAACACATTCTTCTTAGCTAGGTCAATATCAAAATGAGGATATTTCTCTTGGACAGACGAGAGCTCTGATCCCTGGACAGACAGTATATTTCCAACTTTACTCTTTTTACATATTTCTCTATACCTAGTTCTACTCCTCTTTTTCTTTTTTCCGACCTTTAGCACATTCTCATCTGAGTTTTCAAGGAAAAATACAATGATCCTGCCATCCTGCTAATCTCAATCGGCCGATGGCCAACAAGCTAACTACTACTACCCACCACATTAATTGCATCTGCTATTTTGCTGTTATGTAAATATTCACGCATTCTTGTCATGAGCCACGTTCTCTGGAGGATAATCTTTTCCGCCTAACCACTATTCGTAATGTCCTTTTCATTCAAAAAGTGGCGTGCCTCTCGAATTCAATAATTTCCCATAGGAACCCCTCGATTTTCATCTATTTCCATAAGCGCCCCCTCAATTTCCACTCTGTTTTCGTAAGCGCCCCGTTTAAATAAACGCCCCGTTTGAATAAGCGCCCCCCAGAAAGCGCAAAAAATATTTTAGGCGCCCGGGCGCTTATTCGCGCGAGTACGGAACCCTA